AAGAGGGTTAAGGCAGTGCTGGAAAATAATGGTGGCCACACAAAATATTGACACTTGAGGCCCAATTTGGACAGTTTCACTTAGGGGTGTACTCACTTTTGTTGCCAGCGGTTTAGACATTGATGGCTGTGTGTTGAGTTATTTTGAGGGGACAGCAAATTTACACTGTTATACAAGCTGTATACTCACCACTTTACATTGTAGCGAAGTGTCATTTCCTTAGGGTTGTTACATGAAAAGATATAATAAAATATTGACAAAATGTGAGGGGTGTACTCACTTCTGTGATATGCTGTAACTGAAATTTTTGAACCCACAATTAACCCATAGTGTCTGGTTTTGTGTGGGCTGATTGTAGGTTGCATTTTCAAAATGGTGGCAGCGCACAAGCCTGGCAAATCATAGGTTACTTAATGTATGTTTTATTGCCCTTATTGCACCGGGTCTTTTTCTGTAAAAATATTTCACACATTCTAAAGCAGAAAATACTTTGTAAGATAATTTTTCCAGTTTTCTGCCAAATCTCTATTTATTCCATTGCGGAGGAAAAAGGGGGAGTTGAAATTCAACCCCCCTTCAGATTTATCTGTTTCTTTCCTAGGTTCTCACATTTCTAGCTAAAACCTCTATAAAACAAGGTATAAATTCCTTTAAACAGTTGTAATTTTGCTTCATTTTAACCAGAAATCAAAATGATAGGTAATGGTAGCTTTATGAGAGAGAGAGAGAGAGAGAGAGAGAGAGAGAGAGAGAGAGAGAGAGAGAGAGAGAGAGACAGACGGAGGGAGGGAGGGAGGGAGGGAGGGAGGGAGGGAGAGAGAATTTCATTACAAAGCATGCACATTTTAAAATTTGTTTTCAGTGTGAGACACTTGATTGCATATTTATATTTCTTTTCCTTCAAAGATAAAGCACCTCTGTCAAAGGGCCTCTTAATAATACCAAGCACGTTGTCACTTCTGTTGACTCTGCTCTTTCAACATCATCAAAAATTTTTTGCATACAATCTGCAAGCAGTAAAAGAGGAATTTCAGGTGAGTAATAATTAATTTATATGACTACACCTGTAGGAGATTTGTAGGCCAGGACTTTTCCTTTGTTTCCTTTTATGAATATATGAGGGGTGCCTCGTGAGGGGGAAATACCTATGCTGCCTCCACTATATATTCCAGTGCTCTCACCAATATGGGCCTACTTATAGTGTAGGAGCCTGAATGAAAGAAAAATAAGGGGGGAAAGCACAGGAAGTTAAACAACAGGCAGGTTGAGGAGCAGATTCAGAACTCCTAACCTTTTGATCTGTTCTTTCAGTCATATGGATACTCCATCCCACCTCCTGCTTTGTATATGATCTGAGGTGGAACCACAAGACATAATCTGCCCCTATCATATGTAGTTTTGGGCTTAGTCTGGAATGAGCACCTGATGTTCAATGTTTTGGGCACAAGTAAAAAAACCTGACGATAAAACTAGAACAAATGTCTGTCGTACACTTTGCAACATTCAAAATGGGTAGGTGGAGAATGCTGCCCCCCTCATCCCTTCTGTGATTTGTCTTTAAAAAGTGGTGCTAGATAATCATTTGTTCCAGAAATAGCAGTGTCCTTTATGGAAGGATTCCTTTAGACCACTATTAACAATGTTTTATGGACTTTTAAGTATTGTACATTCATAGCGCTATGGACCAGTGGTTCTCCGAGTTTCTTTTGGTACATGCAGTAGAACTGTGACTTAAATTAATGTGCATTTTATAAGGTGAAAGTTGCACAAGAAAAGTTGTGAACTTATTTATATGCTTTATTCTTGTAGAATAGTTCAGAAAGAGAACAATTTATATTTCATGCATAACTGTATTTTCTGCTTTGTTATAAATTTTCATAGCAAAACTATACACAGTATCCATCTCTGGAAGATTCCCATCTGGTGTAAATACCTGTCTGCTTTTTATCTTTCAGATTTGGAGGCTTGTATGTGGGCGAACAGTATGTCTTGATCTCAAAGACACATTCTGCAGCTGCTTGCTCATCTACAACTTTAGAATATTTGAAAGGAGATATGGCAGCAGAAAATTTTCAGTAAGTTCATGTTCTGTTTCCTCTCATGCTTTCCTGTAATATATTTTAAATCATCTGGCAAGATGTAACTCTTTACTCTTACCTTCTTAATGCAATGGGTGCTTCAGTATTCTAGGTAAAACCACTGTGTATTTTCTTTTGGGAAATGTGACTTTTTCCCTTTAATGAAGAATAGATAGGGTTGTGGATAGTGTCACACTGAACAGCAGGACTCTGAACAATCCTGAGCAAATAATTTATACCAATGAGGTCTACAGCCCAGTTGAGCCCTTATAGTACAACCCTTATATGGTACCTATCCCAGTCTTTTGGTATAGACATAGTTGTTTAAAGGGATAATTTCAATGCCTTGAACTTTGTACTCTGTTGCTACTGAGCTACTTCCAGTTGATTGCATTGATTCCATCACTGAATAGGAGACAGAAAATGGAGGTCCTACTCGGGCGAGGGTAGTGACTCCTTGGTGGCTCTTGGCCAGGGTGAAATGTTCTAGATGCTCCATCCCAGGGAGCGCTTGGTGGCTAGCCCTAAACAAATGTCAAGATCTGTACTTGCTTCCATAGGCTATGTCAATAGAACCCATGCCTCTCTAGGACTTCTGGTCCCTTTCATATGAATTGTGCCCTAGTCACCAGTTGAAGCCAGGACTTTGAGAGTTGCACTTGTTAACTCTTCAGATCATAAACTTGTCATATTTTTGCTGCTCAGGGCACTGGACATTACAAAGGTGCCATGCCCTGACGGGTTACACCTGAGAGTACTTAGAGAGTTGGCAGGGGTTCTCTCACACCCACTGGCTTCATTTTTGAGGCCTCGTGGAAAAGGGGTGAAGTTCCAGAGGACTGGAGGGTGGCATCAGTGGTCCCAATTTTCAAAAAGGATAGTAGAAGGGACATGGGGAATCACAGATCAGTTAGTCTTACATCCATTGTAGGAAAAACAATGGAAAGGCTCATAATAGTGAGAGATCTAGTGATGCTAGATAGGGAAGGGAGGCTGACAGCCACACAACATGGCTTCCACAAAAACAGGTCCTGCCAGATAAACCTTGTGGAATTCTATGACAAGGTTTCAAGGTGGCTAGACAGATGGGGCGTGGTATATGTGGTTACCTGGATTTCAGCAAGGCCTTTGACAAAGTGCCCCATGATATCCTGGTTGAGAAATTGAGGGGTTTTGAGATGGACCAATGCACTATCCAATGAATTAGGGCATGGTTGACTGACCGAAAGCAGAGGGTAACTATTAGTGGGGAATAATCAGGATGGTGGCCAGTGACAAGTGGGGTCCTGGGGCCGATCCTGCTTAATCATTTCATCAACAACATGGAAGAAGGGGTGAACAGTCTGCTGATCAAATTTGCAGACAATACTAAAACGGGGGCAGTGGCCACAACTGAGGAGCAGGTATTCCAGATCCAAAAGGATCTGGACAGACTATGGAAGTGGGCAGGAGACAACAGGATGGCATTCAGTGTGGATAAGTGCAAGGTCTTGCACTTGGGGCATAGGAATGGGTGTCATAAGTACAGGTTACGGGACAAGTCACTGGAGTGCAGCACTTGTGAAAATGGATCACAGGGTTCTGGTTGACTGCAGGCTAAACATGAATCAGCAGTGTGATGCAGCGGTCAAGAGGGTGAATGCCACCCTTTGTTGCATAGCCAGAAGTGTGGCTTCTAGATCGAGAGAGATATTACTACCACTCTTTATGACTCTGGTGTGCCCACAACTGGAATATTGTGCTCAGTTCTGGGCCCCTTGTTACAGAAAGGATATAGACGGATTAGAGTTAGTGCAGCGCAGGGCCACAAGGATGGTGGCTGGATTGCAGGAAAAGCCTTATGAGGCGAGACTGAGGGAACTGAGTCTTTTCAGCCTGCAAAAGAGAAGACTCAGAGGGGATCTCTTGGTGACGTATAGGTATGTGAGGGGGTGTCACACGGAGGTGGGTAGAGACCTGTCCTCCCCTGCAGAGGAGGGCAGAATGCGCTTCAACAGAGCAAAGCTCAGGGAGCCAAGGTTCAATTTGGATGCCAGGACGTACTGTATTTTTCCGTGTATAAGACAATACCTTTTCTTCAATATATTTACTTCATAATGGAGGGGCGTCTTATATATGGGGTGGGGGCAGAGAGGAAAACTGTGGCTGTGCTGAGGGAGGAGACTGGTACGAATGTGGGTGTGCTGAGGGGTGGTGAGGCGGCGTGTGTGTGCAGGGAGCAGCAAGCGCAGCAGCAGCTTGCTCTCTTGGAGATGGGTAAGAAAAGTGGGGGGCTTTCTATACATGGGGGAGTCTTATAGATGGAAAAATACAGTACTTCCTGACAGTTAGGACCCAGAGGGTATGGAATGGCTTCCAGAGGAGGTGGTTGAGGCTCCATCAGTGAGGGTGTTCAAGGATAGGCTAGACATGCATATGGTAGGCATGTCATGAGCGGAGCCAGCTATCAGACTAGATGGCCCAGGATACCCCTTCTGTCTCGCTCTGTTTCTATGTTTCTATATTTTACTGGTAATGATGTATAAGTAGAAAATAAATAGGACTATATAGGAGAATATAGGAAAAATTTTTGTTTTATAACTGTTACAAAATCCTATAGGTCTAGAATTAATGTGCTGCTTTAATTTTCTGAGAACAGAGTAGTTAAGCTACTTTAAGCTAGCAACCTATCTGCAATGGGCAGCTTGTTCAGTTGTACAGACCAGTTCAAATTTTGTGAGTGGGACAGTCACAAATAACTTACAAATTTTCTTTAAAGAATATATTTAAGTGGCAAATATATAATTATATTATGCTGTACTTCATGCAGAAGGCAAGTCCAGTTTTAAGGCTATGTTGCACTAATGCTGCTTGTTGTAAGCTATCCAAAATAAGGTACAATTGATGTAGTTGATTTTTTCCTATTGTTTCATTAATGATGATTGTTCTATTCTTTAGACTTCATAGAGTGTACTGGAAAGATATTGCAAAACTTTCAGTAGTTTGGTACAATGTGGCCAGTGTTCATTTCATGTTACATTTGCAATATATAAGTCCTGTATATTCAGACTATGTGCTTTATCTGCTGACTGATCTTTAAGGCATTATTGTCAGCTCAGGGTCCACTCTTGCTAATATGGCCAAATGCCCTAGTTTTGCCAAAGCAAAATCTTGGTCAATGCTGTATTACCAGAAGGCTTTGAAAATAGTGATAATAAAAATTTAATAAATCAGGGAGATTCTGATATCTGTATTAAACCTTCTTTCAAAACTACCCTATATTTAAAGCTATGAAAGTTAAAAAGCATCATTAATTAATGCTAGACGGGTCTGATTCTGAATTCTCTTTCTGTTTTTCAGTCATTTTTGCTAGGCTCATGGATGCTGTCAGTATTATTTGATCTTCTTCTAGTAGAGGCAGTTGAATATTCTTTTGGTCTCACCATCAACAGCTTGCCTTCAGGATTGTGAGTAGCTGCTGAGGGGCTTGCTGAATTCTGGGCACCTTAGATATTATTGCAAGTGATGTAGCTTTAAAAAGAAATGCACCCTTTTGTTTGCAGATAATCATTTGGTATTCTTTTCACTACTTACCAACTCAAGTATGGTCCTATTCTGCTCTAGTCATGCAGAGTTTAAAGGAAGATAGACATTCAAATACACATTCAAATATGGACTTCCATCCATACTTGAAAGTGCACAATCCTATCCACAGTCTACTTTAATTGATCAGACATATCTTCATGCAACCAGGATTGGCTCAAGGGTGGTGCTAGTGAAGTGGAGTGGATGTGAAGGCTTCTGAGGGTTGCTTTAGTGATCCTGGTGCTGGGGAAGTGTTCCTTCTCATATTGCCTTTCAGAATGATGGGAATGACTGATTTACCTGTACTGATGTCATCATGTAGCCAGATCTGCTTGACTATGGCATGTGTTGTCATATGTGCAATCCCTGATTGGCTTGAATTACTCACTGAAAAAAACCTATTTCAGATTAAAAGAAGAGAATCCAAATAGCAAAGATGAACAATAATGCCTACAAACTGGCACAACAAATATGTGAGGGAGTGGGAAGCATTTTTAATTAACAGTTCCTCATCATACTGCCACTTAACCCCTCCCTTTCTTGTCTTCTTCCAAAATGAAAATGAAATCTCACAAAGAGTTAAGCACTACTTGAAAAACTGCATTAATGTGTGTGTGTGATTTTAGACACAAAGCCAATTTCATATGCCTTGTTTTCTGTAGGCAGGTAGTTGTTTCAGTGCAACTCAGAACTTGTAGAAAACAGCTGGAATTACAGCCAAGCTTATTGTATTCACTGACTTTGTCTCATTTAATTTCTCAGAGGGCCAAAACTTGTAGGGATGTGAGTGCTACATCTAGAATAATTTTACTGTTTAAGAATGTGAAGCAGAATAAACTTTTTCGTTTATGTCAATGCATTCTAATAAGCAGTTGTGTATAAGGCTTTCAGTTGATGTGAGAACACTGATGTGTTTTCTGTAGTAGTAATTGCCACTGGAAAAATAATGCTTATGAAGGTCTCTGTTTTGTTGCTAGGCTAATAAGATTTATGCCAGATTTGACAAAACCAAAGGATGCTGCATATACTTGGAAAGGAAGAAAAAGTCTAAAAGATTTGTTTTGGTGTGGCTTGTTAGGCACTGAGGACCATTTTGGAACCAGCTAGGCCTGTATGAGAGGGACAGACTCCACTTGAAATAGAATGGAACCAGACTGCTACTGCATAACGTTAAAAAGGTAGCCGTGCAACTTTTAAACTAAAGGGGAAAGGTAAATAGGAGCTGGGAAGCATGCAGTTCTCATGAAATCATCCCTAGGGAATGATTATCATCCAAATGCAGGAGAGAGGAAAATAGACCACAAAAATATGATAACCAGTCAAAAAGTCTTTAGCACCAAAACAAGTTGCATATTTCAGAGTCATCAGGAGAGGGACACTGTATAGGTGTTTGACACTCTGTGAGCCAAAATAGGAAAGCTGGAATGCCTTGTTTTAAAGGAGAACCTAGGTATAGTAGGGAGGTCCTGGTGGAGGGAGAGAACTAGTGAGATATGGTCATCTCTATATAAACGTTATAGGAAGAATAGGGAAGCGCATACTGAATAAGGGGCGTTGAGTCCAGCAGACGTGGAAATCTAAATGGTGCAGACTGCTTCACAGAATTACTCTATGTGACAATATGTGGCTCCAGAAATGATTTAGTCCAAGGAACATGCCCTAGTCCCCCAGACAAGAATGCTCAGTCTTCAAAAACACCCAAGACTTTTACAATGTGTCATTACCTCCACATTGACTAGCTAAATGTACGTTCCAGTTCTGACAAAGAGGTTTAGTTTCTTGATGACTGACAACTAAGCTCTATAACAGTTGGTTATGAAACCAACCAGAGGGGAGACAATCCTGGATTTAATCGAGTGGGGGTCACCCAAGATCTGTTCTGAGATGTAAAAGTTTTTGAAGCAGCCGGAAACAGTGACCACACTATTATCAGTTTTAATATACGTATAAGTGGAAGATGTCCAACATGGTTACATTAGACTTCAAAAAAGGGAACTTTTCTAAAATAAGAGTGGAAAGAAAGACGCTCAGATAGCTTCATAATGTTTGGAGATTACTTAAAACCAAAATAATGGATGCACAGATAAAATGGACACAAGTGGGGAAAGTTAACACAATGTCCAAGAGGTTCCCAGCATGGTTAAAGAACATTGTCAAGGAATTAGAGAAAACAGCACTGTCATTACAGAAAAGAAGGTTTCCTTGAGAAAATAAAAGTTTTACCTAAATGAGGAAAGCAAAAGCAAACACAAACTTGCACAAAGGAAATGCAAGTGGTCAATAAGAGAAGCAAAAAAGTATTTTGGGAAGCATATTGCTTATAAGATCAAGACAATCAATGAAGAACTTGTTAAATGTATTAGAAGACCCGGTTACAGAAAACGCTCCCCAGAGAGGTGCGCCTGGCATTGACACTTTATTCTTTTGGGTGCCAGACAAAACCCTTTTTATTTTCCAACATTTTAAGGTTTAATTGCTATTTTAATTGTGGTTTTATAGATGATGTGATGCTGTGCTTTCTACTGTGTTAGCATCCTGAGACTTTCTTTAATAGGATGGGTAGAAAAGCTTTAAGCAAGCAAGCAGGAAACCTGGTAGAGAGGCAGTTGAACCATTGGAGTTAAAGAAGGAAAAGGAAATTGTGGGGAAGCTTGATGAATTCTTTTAATTTGTCCTCACAGCAGAAAATATAGGACAGATACCTGTTCCTGAACTTCAGTACTCTGAAAGGGAGGCTGAGGAACTAAGGCAGACCATGGTGAGAAAAGAAGGAGTTGTGAAACTTACTGGCAAACTGAAAGTTAATAAATCACTGGGCCCAGGTGGTATCTCTCCTCTACAGTTCAGATATGAAATTGCTAACCTACTTACAAAATTATGCTCCTAAAATCAGCATAATGTATGAAAGGACTTGGGAATGGCTAATAAGACCAATTTTTAGGAAGGGATTGTGGAGGTCTGGAAATTATAGGCTGCTTAGTTTAACATCTGTTTCAGATAAGCTGGTTGAAAGAATTATTAAAGATAGAATCAATAAGCATATGGAAGGAAAAGTCCTGCTGAAAAAAGAATCAATATAGCTTCCTGAAAGGGAAGTCCTATCTTGCTAACCTATTATAGTGCTTTGAGAGTGTCAGTAAACATATGGACAGGGAGATCCATTAGAGGGATCTAGTTTACTTGAATTTCCAAAAGGCCTTTGACAAAATCCTTACTGAAGATTATTGAGCAAACCTCTCTTATTCATGGAATAGGAGAGAGATCCTCTTATGAGTCAGTTACTAGTTAAACAGTAGAAGGAGAGAAAAATTTCCCAATGGAGGGTTATGAACAGTAGAGTCCTGCAGGGATTTGTAATAGGATCAGTACTTTTCAACCTATTCATAAATGAAATGAATAGTGAAGTGGCAAATTGCTGATGACACAAAACTATTTAGGGCCATTAACACCAAAAGGGATTGTGACTAGTTCCAAAGAGATCTCTCTAAACTGGGAGAACAGGCATCAAAATGGCAAATGTGGTTTAATGTAAGCATAATGTAAATTAATGCACTCCGGGGCAAAAAAAATCTCAACTTCAAATATTGACTTGTGGGATCTGAGCTAGCAGTTGACTGACCAGGGAAGGGGTTTTGGGGTTATGGTGAATAGCTTGATGACACTGTCAACCCTGTGTTCAGCTGCTGTTAAATGTGTGTGTGTGTGTGTGTGTGTGTGTGTGTGTGTGTGTGCAAACTCTATTGAAGGGATAGTTAGGAAAGGAATTAAAAATAACACTTCCAATATCATACCAACCTTATACAAATTTATGGTTTGACCCCATATTATGTATAGTTCTGGTCACTGCACCTGAAAAGGATATTGTAGAATTGAAAAAAGTGTGGAAAAGGGCAAAGGGTTTGGAGCAACTGTCCCACTAGGCAAGGTTACAGTAGCTGAGATTGTTTAGCTTAGAAAAAAGAACAGTAAAGAAAAATATGATAGAGGTGTATGGAATTATATATGGTATAGAGAAAGTGGAGAAGTAAACATTTTAATGCCTCACCCATAAAACTAGAACTCCCATAAAACTTCATTCCATGAATCTGATAGGTGGAAGACTTAGAATGAATTAGAGGAAGTGCCACACAGCATAGAAATTATGGAGTTAGCTTCCACAAGATGTAGTGATAGCCACCAGTTTGGATCACTTGACATGGGGATTGGACAAATTCGTGGAGAAAAAGGCAATTAGTGGTGATATGCTACCTCCAGTAATAGAGGCTCTGTACTCATGTATACTAGCTGTTGGAAAACTTGGAGAGTGGGGAGTTGTTGCACACATATCATACTTTTGGGATTCTATAGGCAGCCAGTTTCCTGTTGTGTGAACAGAATGCTAGACTAGATGGACTGTTTCAGCATGGCTCTTACATTCTTATGCTTTTACCTGCAACTTGCCTTCAGGTTGTTCACTCTTACTAGCCATCATTATTACTGACAATTATTATTGACTAAAACCTGATCATTTTATTTATTTATTTATTTAGAATATTTATATGCCGTCCTGTTGCGAAGGCCTCAGGACAGCTTACGTAAATAAATAAAAAATAATATAAAACATAATACAAATGAATTTCAGATCCACCCTGACTGCAGATTAAAAACATACGTAAACCAATATTAAAAGTTATTAAAATATTGTTGGAATAAAAAGGTCTTAACCTGGCGCCGAAAAACAAATAACAACAGTGCCAGGCAGACCTCTCTGGGGAGCGCATTCCATAGGCGGGGCGTCACCACAGAGAAAGCCCTCTTCTGGGTACTTTGCCTCTTAATATCTTTCATGGAGGGTTCCCAGAGGAGGACCTCTGCTGCTGATCTCAGGGGGCAGGAGGGCAAATACGGAAGAAGGTGTTCCTTTAGGTATCCAGGTCCCAAGCCGTTAAGTGCTTTGTAGGTAATAACCAGCACCTTGAATTGAGCCTGGACTTTGATGGGAAGCCAGTGAAGCTGGTAGAGGACTGAGTTATGTGAGAATAACACCCAGTCCCCGTCAGCAACCTCTGTTTTGCACTATCTGAAGTATCCAGACCGTCTTTAGGGGCAGCCCCATGTAGAGCGTGTTACAGAAATCCAACTGGGAAAATAACCAATGCATGTGTCACTGTCACTAGGCAATCGTCCTCCAGGTAGGGACACAGCTGATGGATTAACCAAAGCTGAAGGAAAGTGCTCACCACCACCGCAGTTACCTGAGCTTCCAGGGACAGCTCCGGGTCGAGGAGCACTCCCAAGCTGCAGACCCTGTCCTTTAGAGGGAGTGCAACCCCATTCTGAGCAAGGTCCAAGTCACCTACCCAGGAGCTTGAACCACCCACCAACAGGACCTCCATCTTGACTGGATTGAGTTTCAGTTTATTGGCTCTCATCCAGCCCATTACCTCGTCCATGCACCGGTTCAGTACAGCCACTGCCTCACCTGGGTTACTTGAAAAAGAGAGGTAGAGCTGGGTGTCATCAGCATACTGATGATTCCACAGCCCAAACCTCCTGATGACCTCTCCCAGTGGTTTCATGTAGATATTGAATAGCAAGGGGGACAAAATGGATCCCTGTGGTACTCCAAGGCATAGCTGCCATGGCGCAGAGCCAAATTCCCCAGCACCACCTTCTGGAATCGGTCATTGAGGCAGAGCCTCCTACTTCCAGTCCCGCTAGCCTATCCAGAAGGATACCATGGTTGATGGTATGGAAAGCCACTGAGAGGTCCAGGAGGACCAACAGGGATGCATTCCCCCTTCTCTCTCCCTGCACAGGTCATCATACAGGGCAACCAAGGCAGATTCAGTACCATATCCGGGTCTGAAGCCGGACTGAAGCTGTCAGCGAGCGGGTCGGCATCTGCAGCGGTGGTGAGCTGTCGGGCCCAGTCCCGGCTCAGCTGCGGCTGGCAAGTTAATGCCGCGGCCCTCCCTGCGCCCTGCCCCCAATCCGGCACAGCTGCCACCCATGCCGGGGGGGGGAGGGGCAGGGCCCGCAGAGAACTTGCCGGCAAGATGAAGGGCCTGCAGGTCGGCAGCGTCCCGATCCCTGGTCCCATGGTGGCCGCCGTCCGTCCATCAGTGCAGCGGCGGCGTCAGCGGGCGGGTTGGTGTCTGCGGCGGTGGTGAGTGGGCAGCGGTGGTGAGCGGTCATTCATTTTGACTGAATGGTGTGTATTGTGGGGTGATAAACCTCCTGCTGCAGTTCCACCTCTGTCTCCTTCCCATCTCTTCTGTCCCAGGAGAGATAGCTGCTGTACTACATGAGTATTTCAACACAGCTGCAGAAGGACTATTACTTTTTTCTAGGCGTCTGCTTTGTTGTAAGAAGGAATCCTTCAGAATAACAAACTTTATGCTATGGCCAACAGTGCAGTGGCTCCCTTGTGCATGTGCAAGCCTTGGAACCGGTACATAGGTGAGAGTATCCACCTATGGCTTCAGGTGGTATCTCTGCTTATGTGGAGTTTTTTGTAGCTTGCTCTTTGCCATTGTAAATAACCAAATATATTCTGTCAAATGTTATTTCTCAAATACATATTGCAGATAAAGCGTTTAGAAACATGTAATTTCCTCTGGTTTTTTCAGCAGGGGGCAATACTGTGAATACTGAAAACATTACAGTATTCAACCATTTCAGCCATTTCAAATCTGTTTATGTTTTGAGACATGTTCATTCCATGAGCATTGTCCAGTTCTCAGAAGATGACATACTTACAGGTTGACATTAAAATAACAAAGAATAAGCAAATAGGGAAGAAAATCAATATGTTTCAAACTAGGGTAACCTCTTTATCAGGGGAAATGGTTTGAGATAGAATAATAAAGCCATTCTTTCATAACACAGTGGAACATTTTAGTATGCTTTGCCACACTTTCTTAACCTGAGTTAAATCATCTGGTGCATGCATCGTATAGAGATATATACACTTTTTATATTATCTCACTGTTGATATTACTTAATGATCTCATGCTACCAGATCTTATACTTTTTCTTCTTACACTTCGAAGATAATTACGATAAAGCATGACACTGATTACTCGGGCTTGAAATTGTTTTGAAACCAGGTAGTACAGAATTACATCTAGACATGTGCTGAGATTCATGAGAAAAGTTGTAAATGCTCCCCATGGATTGTAGCTTATTTGTCCATCTTGGAGCATCAGGAACACAAAACAAATATGAAAAGGCACAAAACACACAAGCACTTGGATGATCAGTGTCACAATAATTCTGATTGACCTCTCTTTAGCCTTTGGTTTCAGCTTGGAAATTCGTCCATGAATGAGACTATAAATGATGACTAGATAAGATGCAACCATGATAAACAAGGGGATCAAGAAAAAAAAAACCATCCGAGAAATGTTTAACACACTGACTTCCTTTAGGTAGATAATATCCATCATCTTAATGCAGGTGGTGAAATTGGAAGTTTTATCTGGATCAGGATATAAGAAGAATAATGAAGAAGTTGTCAAAAGGGTTATTATCCAAAGACCTGTGCAAACTACCAGAGCCTTGGTTTTATTCTTGAGTTTCTTGGCATGTTTGGGCTGAACAACAGCCAAATATCTGTCAACACTTATAAAAGCTAGTAGCCATAGAGCCACACTGGGGTAAAAAACAGTGAAAGCACTGAGAACCTGGCAGAAGACTTTTCCAAAGATCCAAGTACCTTTTCCATAGTAATGCATCCGAAAAGGCAAAGAAAATATGAAAAACAAGTCAAGCAGTGCAACATTCATCATGTAAATAGATATGGTTGTTCTCTTCTTGGTGGTACAGCTGAAGACCCAGAGTGCTGTGACATTAACAAGTAATCCAATTATGAAAATAAAGCTGAAGAAGACAAGTGATGAAATTCTGTATTCTTCTGGATGAATATTTCCAGACATTGTCATTAGACTTTGATTGTGGCTCATCATAGCTTCATAATGTATCTAAGAACAAAATAGAATAATGATTAGTTAAATTCTGCAATTAGTCAAGTTAGTTGGCCCTGAAGAGTTTGTGAACTGGCCTGCACTGGAGGCAGTCAAGATGCAGCAGGTGAGCTATTTGTTTGGGATGCTTTACGAGTAACTTGGAGTCCTGCATTGAGTAAGAGGTTGGACCCAATGGCCTTCTAGGCCCCTTACAATTCTTCAATTCTATGATTAGTTTTGTACTGAAAACTACATTTACAACTGGCCAGTTTCATGCTTTCACTTGACGGGAGGGAATAGGGTTTTACTGCAGTAGTTCAAAATTTTTGGTGAACAGAACCTCTGATTACCAGTGTAGCTTATCAATTTTTGAGAGGTGTGTGGATTATGAATTGATATAAAATGTTAATGCCAATGAAGAGGGCTAAAAGTGAGGTCAAAAGTATAATTATTTCTAAAGTTTGTATTAACAAAATAATGATTTGGGTTGTTTTAATACAGAAGGTTTAATGGGGGATATAGTTAAGTAGGTCTCTTTGCTGCTTTTAAATAAGATGGGAGTGTCCCATTCCATATGCCAATCTTACAGCAGGAGATATGTTCACCTGAAGAATTTAGATCAAAATGAATGTCATCTAACTTTTCTAGATAAAGTTATAGTTTTGGAGTACTAATATTTTTATTTGATCTATTTTTGAGAAACACACAATCAAAATGACTATGTTGATCCCATTTAATGATTTCTTAGAGTCCAATATCTAACAAGAGTCATGGCTAACTTAAGTCCGATTCATTTTAGTGGCTCTACTTTAAGTAAGATTTACGTTAGATTTTACCCAATATCTGGGAGCAATTCTTCTAGCCACCCTTTTGACTTTTATCAGGACATGTAGATTTCTTTGGTATCTGGCTATTGCCTAGTGACCAGTGAAACAAGAAGATGCAGATAATGAAAAACCACAAGCCATTTTTATAGAGCAACAACTTTGACTGTTATGTTATAGAAGAGTAGTCTGACTTCATTTTTGTGGAGCTTACTTGTTCTTTTTACTGTACTCTTAAAGCATTGTTGAAATTTCAAAGTCCCATGGTAGTTGGTTTGGAACATGCATTCATTATTCAGAAGGTAAAAAAGGCATTGTGTTGGATAAGATCAAGGTTGATATGCTCCAGCATTCTTTCCAAAAATGCTAGGAGCTAGCAGGCACTTAACGGATGCTTCTAGCTTGTAACAGCTTATTTATGGCCTATTTTCGGTTGTGTGAGGGCTGTTTACAGACCCCATGTTCAGAAAGCATGACAAGCTGTCACTTGAATATTGAAAGGACTGCATGTACACATTACAGATCCCCATAGGTTGATTGTTATAATTGGCAGAGTAGCAGAACTCATGGCAAAGAATGAGCACATTTTCCTTCTAGTATAATCATGTGCTTGAAATAAGACAATGTCAGGGGAGGTAGAGCTTAAAACCCTGCAGATTCTTATGGCAGCAGACAGTTTGAAAAAGGAAGTTCATCTCTTCATGCTACCAAATATGTTCAAAGAAAAACTCTCTGCCTTCTTTCACTCTCTTGGGTGGGTTGCAGGTGTTTGTTGCTTTGCACTTCTTTTTCCTGTTCCCCACTCTGGTGCTGAAGGAAAAAAAACTGGTGCTTTCACTTCATCTTCTAAACTGCTGTATCTTTGAGCTGTCTCTGTAATATCTGCAGAAAAGATGTGCACCACTAGTCTTGACACTTGCTCTGTTCTTGTAGAGGTTACTTTCTGCTTCTGTGAGCAATAGCTGCTGCTACTGTTGTAAATCATTATTAACACTGAAATCGGTTGACACAATTGTTCCAGGAAGTCCAGATAAAGCATAGCAACTCTGTACAAATGCATTACAAAGGGCAAGAAAGGACATAGAGAAGATAGGATAAGGACAGAAATGGAACTGATTCATCTGCTACTCCTCTTCCCAAGTTTTATAGACTCTGCATCTACACCAGCTTCTCTTACACATAATGGATGGGTTCAAATTCTGGGTGGTTCATTGCCGTACAGCCCAGAGTTCCAGGTTCAGGCAATAAAAAACTGAGAGACAAAGTGTTCCTGAGTTGCTTATCTTGCTGGGATCTTGTGTAAAAACAAGTATGCTTGCTCAGTGTATGAACTGGCTCTTTCCTACTCTTTTCAGTGTAGGAAATGTTTGCCAGAATTGAACTACTGATGTTTATTTCTGTATACTTTTCTTTATATGCATAACAGTCACAAAGCCATTAATACCTTCTCTTTCTCTGAAATTCTGGAAGTTGAGGGTAGAGAACAATCTGGCTTCCACAAAGGAGATTAGGAGAGTAGCTACCCGGAGAAGGGCCTTTACTGTGGTGACACCTTGGCTGTAAAACTTGCTCCCCAGAGAGTTGTGCCTGGCACTGACACTTTATTTTTTTCAGTACCAGGCCAAAACCTTTTTATTTTCCCATTATATTAAGACTTAATTTTTCTTTTAGTTGAGCTTTTATCTTAGATATTAGGCTATGCCTTTGTTGTTGAACTGTCCTTTTATGTATAGGATGGGATATAAAAGTTTTAAATAAATAATAAGCATATCTCCTCAACTGCGTGCAGCAGGGATGGTGCTGCATTTACTACTTGGGACTTGTGCTTTGTTTTTGCATCTGATGCAACATATTTATATAATGATTAAACAGCATAGGAATTTTGAATTATCTGCAAATAAGATTTCACAAATTAAAATTGCCAAATAAAAATCTGTTTTAGGGACAGTTCTTGTTCTAACAGTACAGCCTTCCCAAACCTGGTGTTCTTCAGATACAGTTGACTTCAGTTCCCATCAGCTCTAGCTGGTGGTATGGCCAGTGGACAGAAACGATATGAATTGAAGCAGAAAATGTCTAGAGGGCACCAGGTTAGGGATACTTAGATAGGAAACTGTTTTCCTCACCCCTCCTGCCCCTGAAAGAGTGCCTTTTTCTGTATATTTGATATATACTGTTATATAATGGAAAGGAGGAATGACCTAGATAACTGTGGCTATTTATTAAGAACAGAAGCACACAATTTTCTCTACTTATTAAGAACACAAGCACAGACCCTTTTCTCTACTTTTTAACCGCCAGTGTTACTACTGCTTCTCTTTCTTACTACCATTGTTCCCTTAGTCAGAGTGAGAAGCAGATATTGTGATAGAGAAAAGGAGGAACTACTTCAGGTTGTGTCCTGAAGTCAATGGATCCCTGATGGGATGTGAGCTGGCAGGTGCCTTACCATACCTGCTTTTGATTACAAAGTAAGCCACTTGAAAACAGTGAGCATTCACTATATTCCAAGGAGCTTGCTTCTGGGTATACCTGCCACACACACACACACACACACACACACACTCTCTCTCTCTCTCTCTCTCTCTCTCTCTCTCTCTCTCTCTCTCTCTCTCTCACTCACTCACTCACTCACTCACTCTTTCTCCTTACCCTTTTAAGGCAGCCTGGTTAGTATCGCTTACATTAATTTTACATAGCTGAACTGCACTGTAAATTCCACCTTAAACCTAGTAAACCTTGGTCTAAAAATTGCTTATTGGCATTTCAAGGGTTGCTGTTGCTTTTGTTTTTGTTTTAAAGTGAAATTAATGTTTTATTGTGTTTAATATGTCGGCTCCCTGAAGGCTTTGGTTACAGGGTCAGAAATAGAATAGAAAACACAGATGAATATAGTTGTGTTGTGTTTAATTACTTGTAATCTGATAATTAACCCTTAATGTCTGAGTCCAACAGTTAATTAAACATGCAGACAGGTATAAAAAGAAAAACATTACTCCCGTTGCAGGGGACAGAGTGGGTAACCTCCATAGCAATAGCTTTTTGACCTAAGTGGTCCAGGAAGGGAATATTGAAACAAAACCAAACCTCTTATTTACATATCTTGATCTAAGAACAACCACATTTAAAAGGGAGAATATAGTGAATTTAGACATTCCACACCTGAGTGTCTTCTACAGACCAGAATCCGTTTGGTTGATACAGAAAATATGGTTATACATTTGCTAAGAGAAATGTAAGTTCCAGACCCAAGATATTACCTTTCTTTCAAGGTTTGTATCATGGAGTACCACAACCTGAAGAGCTAGGTAGTGGTCCTTTCATCAGGTATGCTGTTTTAGTGCATGAAATCAGCAAAAGTTGTGTAACAAAGACATCATAGATTTTTTTTGTTTTAAGGACAGAATCCTTTTAGTTTTGGTTGGTTAACATGGGCAGAAGGCTTTAAATGACTGGTTCCATAGCAAACTTTTTTACTGTTCTGTTTGACTACAGATACAGATGGTAGACACATTGGTGCCCTGAAAGAAATTGAGACTTAGTCCTATTCCAGTTTACAAAATGTGTATTGCCTGCTTGCTTTAGGACAATTCTTATTTGCTAAGCAATACCAGGCAAGTAGCTAGTTCGGAGTCTAAATTGCTTGTCTTTTTTTGAAAGAGATACAAATGCAGGATTGTATCCAAAAGTGTCCTTCTGCAAACAGAATTAATGCTACTGTTGAATTGGATTTTCTCTTTTGTCCCCAGTACATGCTCCAAATCTGTTCCCAAGCATTGGTGGACCCAATGAAGCAGATTTTTGAGGTGTTTGCAGGATTGCAGAGGGGATGAACAGAAGGGATACTCCCACTGCATGGCAGGAAATCTATCACATATTCTTAGAATTAGCTCCTAGAGCTGCATTTTGGACAGGAGTTGTGAGTATTTGCTATATTTAGAAAGGCAGCATAGTATAGGGGTTAATGCTGGGCTATAGCTGGAAAGATCTGGATTCTAGTACCCATATTCAGCCATGCAGCTTACTGGTTGTGTTGGTCCAGTCACAGGTTAGATGCTCAGCCAAAACTACTTCACAGGTTAGCTGTGGAAAAATATAGAGAGATAGAGGACCATGTAAGCCACCTTGGGTCCCTTGCAGGGGAAAAAGGAAGGTTATAAATGTAAATCAATGTAAAATAAAACATATTTAGTGATGTGAACATTTAGCCATTGTAGCCGAATGACCAGATTCATCCAATAGCTTGAAAGTGTTGCTGGTGTTTTGATTTAATTCCTGAATTATTACTCATCGCAAACCTTTGGATAATAAGAAATGAGTATAGCATTAATGTTTGGCATTTTAAAAATTAGACTGGTGTAAGAACATTTCATAATAAGTCTGAGATGATGTACTACAAGAAAACACAGGCTGGAACCTTTGCAACTGGTTTCACTGGCCCAGAAGGCAGCTGTGTCTAAAAGAGCAGTCTTTCCTTGTG